TATTTAATTGTGGTAACTGATGTATGACTTGAAGATCTTACAGTTTCCCCCACGTTCATCTCTCATCACTTCAAGGAGGCCAAGATCTATTCCAGGCTGTGGCAGTAACCAAAGAGGAACAGCTGGACCACAGCTGGAGAATAACTCCTATAACCTAATTCACTAGCCTTCTTCTGAACAACCCAACCAAATCTCTTTGTTAGTGTTTTTCCATGTTCCCAGCATGGCTCAATAGCACTTATTGTTGGATGGTTGTTATGTCCTTGTAAACTGACCCAATATGTCATCATTATCTGTATTCTTCTCAATTCCAACGGCATTTCCCCCATTTCTACCTGCAATGCCGGCACTAATGTTGTTTTAAAAGCCCCACTACATAATCTTGACGCTTGAATTACATCCAGTTTCCCCAACAAGGTTTTAGACGCCGACCTATATTCCACGCAGCCATAGTCTAGAACTGATCTTGGGCGACTGTGGCTAAGTGGAGTGCAGGGCCGTCCTTCAATCAGAGGAGCGGCGGTTTGATCCCTGGCTCCGCTAGGAGCATGTCGATGTGTCCTTGATCAAGACAACCCCAAAATTGCTGGTCTTTAAGTTTGGATGTCTTTTCATATATTTAACTATGTTATTATTATAATTGAGGATATAAGATTGGGCATATTTTAGTTCCTGGATGTCATATTTATTTAAACATTTATATAAATAAATATATGTAAAGATAGCGTCATTTCTAAATCATACAACCGTAAAGTTAAGAAATTTAAAAACTGAACCAACAGTCCAAACATCACAGCTACATAAACAAGCTACACACGGGGGAAAAGCAACGCTGCAAGTTTCCATCAGTGATAATTGTGCTTTTCTTTTTATATGTGTTGTGATGCTTTACAATCATTAATCGATGGACACATTCAGTGCTCTGACTGAAAAAATGTTGACATCAAGTAGGATGTAGGCTTTCTCAATAAATATCTTTATTTACAGATGCTAAATAAATAACCTTATATATTATTATTGTTATTGCACAAACTGAGACTAATAGCCAACAATCTAGCGTTAAGTATTACAATTAGACAGAAAATTAGGATTTCAATTTTTTATACTATATTTATCCTGTTAATTAAGGATAAATTTGTCTCTGCATTTGACCCATCCCTATATATGGGGAGCAGTGGACTGTCTTTGACATGCGACACGTCAAAGGCCATGGTTTGAACGAACAACCTTGTGGTCACCAGACAACCCTCTTAACCCAGTGAGCCACGGTCGCCCACCTTTTCCACTAAAGAAAATCTAAGAGCCAATCAGCTCTTTGATCCGAAGACAGCAAGAAGTTTCCCATCATGCCCTGGGGTCATGCAGTCGGTGGAGAGCAATTCTGCATAGCCTGGCTCTAATATCTGCGGCCGCCTCGCTCACGTGAGATCATCGTTACGCACGTTTTCATGACGTCAGAGCAAGTCGGACGCAAATCTACCCAGCATACATTGTGCGCCGATCGCCGGTGATCGATTCTGCGCACGCCTGGCTTAAGTCGAACGAGCCTATTTACTCATGTATTTTTAAGTATTTTACGATAACATTGTAACAGACTGTCATGTTTAACATGATTATCAATATTATTACTAATAATAATCAAAATTATATTAATTATTATTATTGCTGTTATTATTGTTGTTAATTGTTATTGTTATTACTAGTAGTAGTTGTATTTGCGGCAGCAATATATAATGAATCAATTGAAACTACACAAATACGTCAATAACAGAATATGGAAACAAATAAATAACAAAGCAAATATAGTGTAATATGTGTTTTTTTAAGTGATTTATATTTATATTATTGCAGTCTGCAGTCTCCAGTACGGATCCTACATTTCCCACAATGCAACTGAACCCTCCCTGCCCGCTCTATGTTGTGCTGCTGAAGGAAAATCTCTTTACACGAATTAAATATGTTGAGTTCAACCTTTAAAACCTTCCACAGCTTCTCATTAATTAAATAATTATGAAACAAAACCAGACTAATAAATATCTAATAAATAAACAAATAAACAGTAAACAAAGCTCAGGATTCCTCACCTTCATTATTATATTTATTTGTGGTCAGATTTCAAACTGAGAATTGAATCTAAAACATATTTTAGTAAAAAATAACCTTTTATTCTTAAAAAAATGCACAAAGTAGAAATGTAAGCTTCTCATAAATACAGAAGAATATTTACAGATATTTAATTTATTTTATCTGAACATGAAACTGAGAAATTATTGTCTGATTATTTTCTTTACAGACCCGTAAAAAATGTTCTTCTGTAGAGATTTAAAATCCTGTTTCTGGAATTGATTTGGGTCAGAACCGAACAGCTACAAGACGTAAACTGAGTTTTCAGGAGTTCGTACTTGGAATTGAAAAGAGAAACGATCCGTCCTCTGGAAACAACCATCCTCAGTCAGAGAGCACAAGACCGTGAGAGTAAACACCGACCTCCGAACCCTTCTATGAATAGTCCTCTGAACAGTCCTCTGAACCCTCCTACGAACAGTCCTCCGAACCCTCCTACGAACCTTCCTCTACTCCGTCCTCTACTCCGTCCTCTACTCCATCCTCTACTCCCTCCTCTACACATCCTCTACTCTGTCCTCTACTCCCTCCTCTACACCGTCCTCTACTCCCTCCTCTACTCCGTCCTGTACTCCGTCCTGTACTCCGTCCTCTACTCCGTCCTGTACTCCGTCCTCTACTCCCTCCTCTACTCCCTCCTCTACTACGTCCTCTGAAGCGTCCTCTCTCCCTGGTTGTTGCTGTTCAGTCTTCTACAAAACCGGAGCCATGACTGCAGCGTCTTTCCGGACCAGATCCAGAAGCCGGACGTGATCCCGACAATCATGGTCATCAGGTACTTGATCATGAACACGGTGAAGTACGGCTTCAGCGGTGCAAAGTTCCCAGCAGGACACGGCACAGCAAAGTGCTTGCAGGTCTGCATGTGCCAGGTCCTCTCCCACCACGGCCTGAAGGCCTGCTCGTAGAAGCAGCAGGCGATGACGACGGTGGCGGGCACCGTGTACAGCACACCAAACACGCCGATCCGCACCATCAGCCTCTCCAGCTTCGCCGTTTTGGTGCCGTCGTGCTTCATGATGGTGCGGATGGTGAACAACGACCTGAAGCCGGCCAGCAGGAAGGAAGTGCCGACGAAGAGGTAGACGAACAGAGGCGCCAGGACGAAGCCCCGCAGGGCGTCCACGTCGTAGATCCCCACGTAGCAGACTCCGGTGAGCAGGTCGCCGTCCACCTGTCCCATCGCCAGGATGGTGATGGTTTTAACCGCTGGCACCGCCCAGGCTGCCAGGTGGAAGTACTGGGAGTTGGCCTCGATGGCCTCGTGGCCCCACTTCATCCTGGCCGACAGGAACCAGGACAGGGACAGGATGACCCACCAGATGGAGCTGGCCATGCCGAAGAAGTACAGGATCATGAAGAGGATGGTGCAGCCTTCCTTTCTGGTGCCCTGGGCCACCATCTTGTATCCGTCGCTGTTGAAATCACTACACACCACTTTGTCCTCCAATAGGAAGCCGGCAGCGTACGCCAGTGCCACCATGAAGTAGCAGCCAGACAGGAAGATGATCGGCCTCTCCGGGTATCGGAACCGCCTCGTGTCCACCAGGTACGTGAGCACGGTGAAGAGAGTGCTGGCGCAGCACAGAATGGACCAGATCCCGACCCAGAGCCGGCCAAACTTCAACTCCTCTGCTCGGAAATACATCACTCCGTTGGGTTTGGAGATCTCACAGGGGGCGCCGCAGTCCTTCACCCCCAGGAAACGGTAGTTGAGGTAGGAGGGCACCTGGAGCTGCCGAGGGCAGTAGACAAGCTGGTTGGGGGTCGGTTCTGACGTGGGGTCATCTAAGTCTGTCGTGTTCTGACCCACGCAGAGCTCTGCTCCATGAACCGGGAAGTCCTCGCAGCGGAGACTTTCGGGCCACTGGAAGCCGAACTTGTTCATGAGGTCCTCACATCCGAGCCGGGCCCGCTCACACAGAGACCTGCAGGGTGGGAGGGCCCGATCCAGAACCGTGCAGACCGGCACGTACACGGAGCACAGGAAGAACCTCAGGTCCACGGAGCACTGGACTTTAACCAGCGGGTAGAACTGGTGGACCTCCAGCCCGGCGTCCTCCTGATTGGTGTGGCCCAGCAGGTTGGGCATGATGGTCTGGTTGTAGGCCAGGTCACTGCAGAGCGGGATGGAGATGGACTGACAGAAACCGTGATCCGGGATGAAGATCCCCTTCTCACGCTGAGAGACGCATGGCGGGACGAGAAGGAGTGAGACCACCAGAATGAAGCCCGGGATCCAGACCCGCAGACCGGGTCTCTGTGCCACCATGATGGACGAGAAGAAGACCAGAATCAGTACAAATAAAGTCCTGCTCCTGAACTGGTTTAATCCCTCTGAGTCTGGACCAGACCAGTAAAGTGAATCAAGTCCAGACCAGTATGTGAGACAGGTCCAGTAGGGGAATCAGGTCCAGTATGTGAGACAGCTCCAGTAGGGGAATCAGGTCCAGTAGGTGAGACCTCTTCCTGTCTTCGTCTCCGTTAGAATAAACTTTCTCTTAATAAACGTCTCATCTCACTCAGACTGTTTCCAGCCTCCGCCCTCTCCTCTCTTCTGAGGGGCGCCTTGAAACTCCTCTAATCGAGCTGTTCTCGCTCGTGTCACCGCTGATTGGCCGAAGGACCTGAAAGGGGCGGGGCGTCGGGCAGCAGTCCTCATCTATAATATTCATGTTTTTATATTAATTTAATGAACTAAAAGTACAAATACCACAAAGTACAAATCCTTTAAAGTACTGCTGTTCTTATGTATCAGTAGTAGAGAGTATATAGTACTTCATTATGTATATACATTTACTACATTACATTACTTTATTATTTTATATTTATTCTAATTTAAACCATTTCATGTGTTTTTCTTTGTATTTATGTATTAATATTAAAAATACTAAAAACATTAACTCAGGACATTTACTCTCATTTTATCTGATACTTTTACAAATAAAAACACAACATATGATATGATGCAGTACTACTACAACATTAAAAACACAATATATATATTCTATAATAAAGGAGCCTTTATGAGTACTTTTACTTTTAATACTTTATTTAGCTGATAAAACTTATGTACTTTTAGTTCGGTGTATTTTGAATTCAGGACTTTGTCATTAAGTATTTTTAGAGTGTGGTACTTGTGTGTACTTTTACCAAAGTAAAGGATATTAGTACTTGTATTATGAACGTAAAATTATTTAAAGTGTTAAACTACTCTGCATGAAAATATATTGTATCAAGTACAATTTTGAGGTCCTTGTACTTTACTTGAGTATTCCCATTTTTACACTTCTGTAGTACATCTCAGGTACTTTTACTACTTTATACTACTTTTACATTTCTGGTCACTTTAAAGGTTAATGAAGTATTTTAATAAATGTTTTAATAAAGATAAACTCATTTAATGAGAATTCAAATGAAACTAAATAACAGTAAATATGAATTTATATACAACATCAAATATATATAAATAATACATTACATATATATATAATATATAAATAATACATTACATATACTGTATATATAAATAATACATTACATATATATATAAATAATATATAAATAATACATTATATATATAATATATAAATAATACATTATATATATATAATATATAAATAATACATTATATATAATACATAAATAATACATTATATATATATATATATATATAATATATAAATAATACATTATATATATAATATACGTATATATAACCCAGCCTGCCGTCCATCCTGTTCACCTCCAGTCAGGAAACGGGCTGAAAGATCAAGAAAAAGTGTGTATATATATATATATATACACTTTTTTTTTAGGATATATATTTATACTTTATACTATTGTATACAGCTGTTAAATGTTTAAACCAACATCTGTTCTTCTTTTTTGCTGCCCTTTTTTTATTCTATATATATTTTTTTCTTGTTTATTTTAAACAAGAAAAAAACATATCAATGTACACACAATGTGCAGTGTGTACATTGATACATTTTTTTCATGTTTCTTGTAAAATAGTGTGTGTACATTGAGAGCGGAGCAGAAACCAGAGACACATTCCAAGAATGCGTTCACACACACGGCCAATAAAGCTGATCCTGATCCTGATCCTGAGATTGAAAACTAAGTGTTCAAACTTTCCACTCAAAGCTACAAAGAGACACAAAACAACCTCAAACTGCTTTGAATATGGTTTATTGATATGATGACGTCACCATCTTCATCATCAGACACAGGTCCGGTTCTGGGTCGTGGTCTCTGCAGGTCTCTCTCGATGTGTGGGTCTGAGGTCCTGGGTCTGGGTCTCTGGGTGTCTGGGTTTCTTGGTCTGGGTCTGGTGGTCTCGTGATCTCTTCCGGCGTGGGCGTCTGTAGTTCTGGGTCTGGGTCGTGGTCTCTGGGGGTCTCTCCTGGTCGTGTAACCCGTGCACGCAGAGCCCCTCTACCGGAAGGTCCTCACAGCGGAGCCTCTCGGGCCACTGGATCCGGGTCTGGTTCAAGAGGTCCTCACAGCCGGATCGGGCCCGCTCACACAGAGCCATGCAGGGCGGGATGGGCTGCTCCAGGATCGTGCAGACCGGTACGTACACGGAGCACAGGAAGAACTGCAGGTCCCTGGAGCACCGGGCTCGAACCAGCGGGTCGAACCTCTGGACCTCCAGACCCGCGTCCTCCTGGCTGGTGTGGCCCAGCAGGTTGGGCATCACGGTCTGGTTGTAGACCAGGTCCCTGCACAGCAGGACGGAGATGGACTCACACGCGCCTCGAGAGTCGCAGTGCGAGACGAGGAGGAGCGAGACCAGCACCGGGATCCAGACCCTCAGACCGGGTATTTGTGGCACCATGATGGACGAGGAGGAGACCAGAATCCACAAAAAAGAACAAACAAGGTCCTGATCCTGAAGGTGTTCCAGACCAGCAAAGTGAACCCGGTCCTGAGCTCGTGAGCTCTGCATGTTCTTCTTCTTCTCGGGTTTCAACCAAACGTTTCAGGAATTTAACTCTTTGAAGTCCAGTTTGTTTTAGATGCTAAAAACATATTAATGTAATTATTTTAAGTTTTATAAACGCAGAAATATTATTTATTTTATTTCAGCAACAAAATCTTTTCTAGTTTAAGATGAAATAATCTGTAATAATAACTGCTAATTTATCGTCATTAAAATATGAATTTTAAATCTTCTCCCTCCATCAGGAAGGAAGACTCCTCTGATTTAAACATATATATATATATATATACACACTATATATTTTTATATGTTTAAAAGTTATATTATAATAAACACCGTCATTATTATTATTATTATAAGTTATTATTATTATAACTTCTTTCGCAACAAAATGATTCCAACAGAATTTAAAACGATGTGAGAATAAAAAATAAAGTAAAATGTTTGAAAACAATAACAATAAAAATATAGTTTATATAAACAATTCTATATTTTACTGAAACTACTAAATTAATGTTACTTCATTTTTTTATTTTATTAAGTTAAAAAACAATTAAATAGACAGAAATACATAATTTATACTAAATTAATAATCATATTAGTTGAAAGACATTAATGAGATTTTATTTATTTTAACTATAACATCTCTGATGTTCTTTGATGTTAATTAAATTGAATGTTGATTATTTATAGTTTAGAAGTAAAACATCTCGTTTTACTTCAGTAGATTTAATAAATATTACATTCATTTAAATCTGAAGATATTTGTGAGTATTTATAAAACATATAAAGCTTTAAGTTACGTTATAGCTAACGTTAGTAATAGTATAATATATAAACTATCTTTATAAGTTTATGAGGTGAAACAGAACAAAGTTTATCATCACAGAATTATTAACGCGACGTTTTGGTGAAAGTTGATGAAAGTTTGACAGAAAACAAAGAAAATAGTTTGATTCACAATAACATCAGAGGCCCGATATCAAAGGGAGCATTTTGATTTATTTATATTTATTAATGATATTTATTTATGATAAACAAACATAGTTAAATATTCACTTTCTCTTTTATCTCTTTCGTGTCTCTCGATCAATCAAACTTCTACTTTCTGTCAATCAAAACACAAATAATTATATTTATGAAGATGTTTTTGTGAGAAAAGTTTCTGAAGTTGTTTGAATCTTTTAAACTAATTAAACTATCCATCCATCCATCCATTTTCCTCCGCTTATCCGGGGTCGGGTCGCGGTGGCAACAGGCCAAGCAGGCTGACCCAGACCTCCCTCTCACCGGCAACATGTTCCAGCTCATTCTGGGGGATCCCGAGGCGTTCCAGGCCAGCTGGGAGATGTAATCCCTCCAGCGTGTTCTGGGTCTTCCCCGGGGTCTCTTCCCAGTTGGACGTGCCTGGAAAACCTCCAGTGGGAGGCGTCCAGGAGGCATCCTAATTAGATGCCCGAACCACCTCAGCTGACTCCTTTTAATTAAACTAATAATATGTAAAATATTCTGAGAACAAACAAGAGAAGAAAGAGACCGACGGTTTGTTTCTGTGATACGACGTCAAATTAAATAAACAAGTGAAGAAGAGAACTGAAAATAATCAAAAACTATCCAATTGATTCACTTTGTGTTTAAAAAACACACGTCTGTCGACATTAGCATGTACGGCTAACTAGCTTGACATGCTAACGTTAGCATGTTTCTGGCACGTTTAGCTCGGATTAGTTCACTAAACTTAACGATAAGATAATTAATACTTTGGACATTTACACGACTAAATAACTAAAGGTGAACAATTGTTCAGATAACATTTAATAACATTGACATTAAACTTCCTTTTCATTATATTGTAAAAAAAGAAAGAAAGAAAACTACCGTAAAACACTAAAGCAGTGACAGCCTCGAAAGAAACGTAAAAACACGGTAAAATACCGTAAAACACTGAAAGCACCTAGAAAAACATAAACCCCTGAAAACAGTGAAAACACAGAAAGACTGTAAAACAGTGAAAATAATAAAATGTTGAACACTGTAAAACAGTTACAGCCTCTAAAGACGCTGTAAAGACACGGTAAAATACCGTAAAACACTGAAAACAGAGAAACACTGTAAAACAGAAAACACGTAAGTTGTTTTTCTTACGTTGATCAGACAGATGTTGAAGAAGAGGAAGAAGAAGAAGTTTGTTGTTTAGTTGTTTCAAATAAAGTTTGACGTGACTCTTAAATAAAATAAAACATTATTGTCTGTAAAATAATAATAATATATCGGAACACATTAACATGAAAAAGATGTTTGTATTTGGCAGCTTGTCGACATTAAGATTCACTCATTATTCAAGAGGAGTGTCGGGGGGGTTGTTACTCATGAATAAATCCTCATGAATCTGAACAATGCTAACGAATGCTAACGAATGCTAAAGGGAGAATCGTTCAGACCGACGTCCCCAAGGACCGAAAATCATGAAGCGAACGTTTGAGATTTAAATCAACAAATACGGAGATTAAAGCAGATTTACATACGACAAGAACATGTAAACAAACCATAGCACTAGCTTAGCTTTAGCACTTAGCACAGAGCTTCAGCACTTAGCTTAGCTTCAGCACTCAGCACATAGCTTCAGCACTTGGCCTTAGCACTTAGCCTTAGCACTGAGCCTCAGCACTTAGCTTCAGCACTTAGCTTAGCTTCAGCACTTAGCTTAGCTTCAGCGCTTAGCCTTAGCACTGAGCCTCAGCACTTAGCTTCAGCGCTTAGCTTAACTTCAGTGCTTAGCTTCAGCACTTAGCTTCAGCACTTAGCTTAGCTTTAGTGCTTAGCTTCAGTACTTAGCTTAGCTTTAGTACTTAGCTTCAGCACTTAGCTTTATGCTAGAATCAGTTACATTCTATGTTTGTGTTTATATAGTGGGTTTCTTCACCCCTCTGTTAGTCTCATTAGGTTGATTGAGAAGGGTTTTATTCCCCTCTGTTCGTCTCCTCAGGTTGATGGTGGTTGGTCTGAGTGTGTTCACCAGAACTTGGCGCTTAGCAGCAGCGATGGTTTAATCTTTTGTCCGGAGTTAAAAACGTCTCTGACCTCCGTCTCCAGTTGAACACCTGGCACCTTAAAAATGGACACCGCTGAAAAACAGAGAGAAGAAGAAGATAGATTATTAAAGAGAAGTTTATCATGGTGTTTTAATTCATTTGACTATTTATTAGAATTAGGTTGTGTTAGCATGTAGCTCTGACAGCATTTCATTGTGTTAGCATGTAGCTCTGTTAGCATGTATAAGGTGGAGTTCTTACTATCTCTGAGGTGCATGATGGGAGGAGGCAGCGTGCTGAAGTACGGGTGCTGCAGGGAGTCCTGCGCCGAGATCCGGTCCGTAGGGAGGACCTTCAACATCCTCTGGACCAGGTCCTCGGTCTTATAGGGCAGCTGGTTCAACCTGATCCACATCAACACAGACAGACTGATGGAGGACTATAGGAAGACCTGGTCCAACCTGATCCACATCAACACAGACAGACTGATGGAGGACTATAGGAAGACCTGGTCCAACCTGATCCATATCAACACAGACAGACTGATGGTGGACTATAGGAACTATAGGTTCCTATAGACCTGGTTCAACCTGATCCCCTCTATGCTAACATGCTAACATGCTAACATGTTCTTGTTAATTAAACTTTTATTTCGTACCTTTTCCAAACGTTTCTCAATGACTTCGGCTCAGAGAAAAGAAATCGATCTGAAGAGAAAAACAACAATAATAATAACAATAAAATAATAATAAAATAATACATTAATAAAAATAAAATAATAATAATAATACATTAATAAAAATAAAATAATAATACATTAATAACAATTTATTAATAATAATAATAATACATTAATAAAAATGTAATAATAATAATAACTTTATTAAATAAACAACATAATAAGTCAGTGTTGATTTTTAAGGTTCACTTTTTATATTTGTGGTGTGATGTCGCCTCCTGCTGGTTACTCTGATGCTCTGCAGAGAGCCCATCAGTCAATCAATAATCAATCATGAATCAATTATGAATCATTAATTAATCAATCTGTGGGAAACACCTGAGATATTAAATAAACTCTCAAAGAGATAGAAACTCTGCTGTTTATTAAAATATTTTAATAAATAAAAATGTAATATATATTATCAGATGTAGAAAGTTTATTTAGTTTTTTGAATGAGTGGAGAATATAGATATTAAAATGAACTGACCGGGTTGATAGTTAGGCAGCTGACTGACTCCAGGCCAGATGTCCTCAGACGGGACGCCCAGAACCTGACGGGACAATTACCATTATTAATCTTTAGAATGTAATTAATTGAACTTTTAACAATGTTAATACAACTAATAAACAAGAGACATTAGAAATGAAATAATGAGAATAAATGGAAAATAATGGAGAGAACAAGATATGAGTTTAACATCCATCCATCCATTTTCCACCGCTTATCCGGGGTCGGGTCGCGGTGGCAGCAGGTCAAGCAGGCCGACCCAGACCTCCCTCTCATCTGCAACATGTTCCAGCTCATTCTGGGGGATCCCGAGGCGTTCCCAGGCCAGCTGGGAGATGTAATCTCTCCAGCGTGTTCTGGGTCTTCCCCGGGGTCTCTTCCCAGTTGGACGTGCCTGGAAAACCTCCAGTGGGAGGCGTCCAGGAGGCATCCTAATTAGATGCCCGAACCACCTCAGCTGACTCCTTTCGACGCGAAGGAGTAGCGGCTCTACTCCAAGCTCCCTCCTGATGACTGAGCTCCTTACCCTATCTCTAAGGCTGAGCCCGGCCACCCTACGGAGGAAACTCATTTCGGCCGCTTGTAGCCGCGACCTTGTCCTTTTGGTCACGACCCAGAGTTCGTGACCATAGGTGAGGGTAGGAACGTAGACCGAGTGGTAAATTGAGAGCTTTGCCTTCCGGCTCAGCTCCCTCTTCACCAAGATGGTCCGGTGCAGCGCCTGCTTTACTGCTGCAGCTGCACCGATCCGTCTGTCGATCTCCCGCTCCATCTTACCCTCACTCGTGAACAAGACCCCGAGATACTTGAACTCCTTCGCTTGAGGTAGGCACTCCGTCCCCACCTGGAGGGAGCAATCCACCGGTTTCCGGCAGAGAACCATGGCCTCAGATTTGGAGGTGCTAACTCTCATCCCCGCCGCTTCACACTCGGCTGCAAACCGCCCCAGTGAATGCTGGAGGTCACAATCCGAGGAGGCTAACAGGACCACATCATCTGCAAATAGCAGAGAAGCGATCCCGAGACCCCCGAGACTGACGTTCTCCACCCCCCGGCTGCGCCTAGATATCCTGTCCATGAAAATCACAAACAGGACCGGTGACAAAGGGCAGCCCTGGCGGAGGCCAACACCCACTGGGAACGTGTCTGACTTATTGCCGAGAATGCGGACACAGCTCCTACTGCAGCCGTACAGAGACCGGATCGCCCGTTGTAACGGGTCCGGCACCCCATACTCCCGCAGCACCCCCCACAAGACCCCCCGAGGGACCCAGTCGAAAGCCTTCTCCAAGTCCACAAAGCACATGTAGACTGGTTGGGCAAACTCCCAGAACCCCTCCAGTAGTCTTGCGAGGGTAAAGAGCTGGTCCACTGTTCCACGGCCGGGACGGAATCCGCACTGGTCCTCTTGAATCTGAGGTTCGACAAGCGGTCGGAGCCTCCTTTCCAGCACCCTGGCATAAGCCTTCCCCGGGAGGCTGAGTAGTGTGATACCCCGGTAATTCGAGCACACTCTCCGGTCCCCCTTTTTGAAGATGGGAACCACCACCCCGGTCTGCCATTCCATGGGCACTGATCCCGACCCCCATGCGACATTGAAGAGGCGTGTCAGCCAGGACAGCCCAACCATGTCCAGCGCCTTCAGCATCTCAGGGCGGATCTCATCCACCCCCGGCGCCTTGCCACCAAGGAGCTTTTTGACTACCTCAGCGGCCTCTGCCAGGGATATGAGTGAGCCTCCCCCTAGGTCCTCAGGCGCTGCCTCCTCTGCAGAGGAGGCAGTTTAACATTTACTTCTAAATATATAATATATGATATGATATATTATAATTATATATTATAATATAATTACAATATATGAGATAATTATTAATTATAATACATAACAATAAATAATAAAATAGAATTATATTTTATATTATTATTTTATATATATATAATAATAATAAATAATAATCTCACCGTCCAGATCTTCTGCAGTTGTTCAAACTCATCTTTCATTCCTGGAAATGCTGGAAACCCCTGAAGCATCTCAACGAAGATACAACCAGCTCCCCTATTCAAATACACACAACTTTATTTAAACATATTCAAACACACACAACTTTATTCAAAACACATTCAAACACACAGCTTTATTTAAACACATTCAAACACACACAACTTTATTTAAACACATTCAAACACACACAACTTTATTCAAAACACATTCAATCACACAGCTTTATTTAAACACATTCAAACACACAACTTTATTTAAACACATTCAAACACACACAGCTTTATTCAAACACATTCAAACACACAACTTTATTCAAAACACATTCAAACACAACTTTATTCAAAACACATTCAAACACA